TCATATTGATCCTTTAAAATTTATTGATCCATTGCTGTAGATTTAATATTTTTTATGTAAGTTCTTAAAAAGAATGTGTCTTTTCTATTCTATACTCATTTCTAGGTATCTGAACTATTTCAAGCTTATGGCTCATGCTTTTGTTGTTGTTGTTTAATCTTTCATGGTTTAGTTAATAAGATGTTTTGTCTGTTAGATTTCTCTGTTTTTGCCCATGGAAATTCTAGTTGTTGCCCTATACACATCAAACCTATATTACTAGCCTCATGAATGTTCATAATGATTGTACCTTGGTACCAGTATGTGATATCTTTCATTGTCCCTTTTGATATTTTTGCCTTTGAATTTCATTTTGTCTTGATATTAAAATTTTGATAGATATTACCATCTTGACCTCCACAAAGGTTATATTGATTTATAATTCACTTGACACACACTGTATGAGACTACTTGTTTCTCCATATGCTCTACACTTTTTAAGGTCTAGGTATCCTAATTTTCTGTCTTTACTGGTAGCTTGGGAAACTGGACCCAATGTGTAGCCTTTTAAATCTTAATTTTACTCACTGCCTATCATATTCTGATCACAGCTTCCTTAATTGAGTCACTCCAGACAACATCCTGACTGTATTTAAAGATGGTGCTTGGAAAATTCGACTTAATTATCAATTATACCACATTTTATCCTTCCTGTTGGGGTTGCCCCAGGACTCAGTTTTCTGAGGACAGAGTTGGCCCAGCTTCTCAGCCAGATGTGTCTCCCTTGGAGTCTGCTGTGAGCAAAGTGTGATCTCTTTCCTGCTGTGGTTGCCCTGCACCAGCTCTAGGTATGAAGAGAGACTACTATGGCCTTCTGCTTCCTCTAGATCTGGGGATTACTCAGCCTAAGCTTCAGGAAGACAGAGGGTCAAACAGGCAAACAGTCAACCCTCTAATCCTGCCTCTGTTTTGGTTCTGCTTGTGCATCCTTGTGCCTAAGTTCATGGCATGATTTGGGTATGTTGAGCTCCACTGAGTACCAGTACTGGTCCTGGCCTGAATGTCTCTTGAATTCTGCTACCTGACTGGTAAGATGTCAGTGGAGTTTGCTGCAACCTGAGGCCATTATGTGACATCCTTTTCAGGAAGTTATATCACTCAGGGACCTAATATCTCTTGCTCCCTGTGAGGTTCCTCTTAACATGCCTCTCAGCCTCTGTCTGCCATTCTCTCACCCTCACCTCCCACATACTTTGTGCTTTCATAAATAGCTAGACTCCTTGAACAGCCTCTATAGAAGCTTAAACGTAACATCCTTTGCATCTGTAGGGTATTTTATATTCTTCAAAGCACTTCCATATACATATTTTCATTTGATCTTTACAAAAACCTTTCAGGAATGTAGGTTAGGTATATTATCCTGATTTCACCGATGGTGGAATAGATATAGTAATTAGGTGACTTGCCTGTCCTCAGGCACTTTGCTAATGTGGAGCTGGTATTAAAACTCCAGTTGGTTTTGGTTGGTGATTTCATTCATTCATTCATTCATTCAACCACTCATATTATACTGAGAAGCCCCAGAATGGAAAGAGCAAGGGCTTTGGAGCCAGACAAACGTGGGTTTGAAAATTGATGTCATCCTTTGTCAGCTGTGTGATCTTGGCCATGTATATCCCCCAGAAGATCAGTTTTCTCATTTGTAATGAAGGGAAAATATGACTTACAATGCTTTTAGGAGGCTCTTGTATTGCATGAAAATTACCTGGCAATAGTAGTGTCTGGCACACAGTAGTTTGAACTATTGTAGGTCAAAAATAGTCCTATATTGACAATCATATAGGGTTCAACCTAATGGTAGAAACTCACTATCGGCTACCATTTATGGAGTCCTTCACTGTTGTCTGTGAGGCACTGTTTGACTCCAATAATGCAAATAAAATGAGACAACATACTCTATGTGTCTGTATTTTCTGCTGGATCATGGTTCTGAAGGATTGAGCCCGTGTCTATATCATACTCAGTACCAAAATTTTTTTAAAAGTGTCTGCTATGTCGTAGGTGCTCAAAAAATGCTTACTGAATTGCAAAGGTCCCTGCTCACAAAAAAAGGTTGCCAGCTAGTTAAGGTAGGCAGGCCAATAATTATATAATTATAATAAACTGTTACATGAGTTTAAATAGACACACACAGGTTATGGTGAGAGCCCAAGGGAAGCAATGCTCAGTTCTACTGGGGAAGGTTGAAGTGCAGTAGACAGGAGGGGACAAAACTTCATAGAGCAGGTGTGTCAAAACTAATTGTGGTCTCTTTGAGGAAGGGAGCACAACCACTTTGCTTATTTTGAACTACATGCTTTCTCTCAACCAACCCCTTTTTAATGTTTGGAATTGAGTTTGTATTCAAAGCAGCCTCTTTATTTGTCTCACAGTCCCTCTGTTACTGGTATCTCTCACAATGTATTGCTTTGTAAAGTGCTTTCTTCTATCCTGGGTATAAAAGAGATGCTTGGTAAAACCAGATGCTGTTCTTTGCTTGTCACAACTAGCTATTGCATAACAAAGTGCAATATATTGTGTGAGACGAAATAGAGGAACACAAGAGATATTTTAAAGGGAGCCAATAAAACATCAATGTGGGAGAGTGCAGAGTGCATTAAAGTTAATAAACTGTCATGGCAGAGTGGACCCCTTTTACATGTGAAGGAAACTAATTTAGTGACTTGTAACTGTAGGATTAGAATCCCACTGCAATGAAGTTAGCTGCTAGTTTTGCCAAATTCCGAATCATTCCGTTCTTAAGAATCAGTCCTTGGAGTTGAGGAGAATATATATATAATTTTTTTTTTTTGTCCACAGCTCTTTGTGGTGCTTAAGCCATCTGTCTTCCTCTGAATATTCAGTGCTGCTCAACTCTCTGTACAGTATTGCCTTCCTTTAAGCTCTGGGAAGGAGAATTCAGGCCCTGGTTTACCTACTGGATTAGATATAGCCCATCAACATAGGTTTCCAGAAAAAATGAGTAGCTGTTTCCTGTTTTCACAGAGATACTGAGACCAGAAAGCTGTCAGGTGTAAACTTTGCTCAGGCGTGAACCACTGAGCTACTCTTCTTATTCGCAAGAGAGAGACAAGGCAATCAATACAGGTCTCCTTTTTGGCAATGTTGAAGGATGACTACAACAGTAAGAGTTCCAAAATGCCAAGACCTGGATTGGATTTTGTGTTTCTTCAGCCACAAAATGTCCCAGCATCTTACTCCCAAATCATTAATGTCCTTTGCAGTCAAGACTGACGGCTCTGCCTGCTTACTACCTTATCTTTGTTTATTTAACACCCTCTTTATTATTTGTTTTTCTTTTAGTTAGCTAAACTCTCAAAGTATTTAGGTTTCTAATGTCTCACCTTTTCTTTCTTTCTTTCTTTCTTTCTTTCTTTCTTTCTTTCTTTCTTTCTTTCTTTCTTTCTTTTTTTTAACAAGCAAGACATCTTAAACAGCATTTTCATCCTTGAATGCATGCCCTCTCTGTAGAAGAATTAGAAGCTTTGGTTTTGGTTCAGAGTGCAGTTCATAGACTATTTCCTGGGAGCATAAAATGCTGCATTTATGTATTAGTATGCTGGTGTTATAATACCATTGACCTGTGCAATTACCTAACTGTTTTGGTCTTTAGTTTTTCTTTTGAGAAATGGGAATAAAATGCCTAAGTTATAGGGTTTTCATGAGGACCAAAGAGATCACATATGAAGAAATGCCTAACATTGTGCACATAACAGATGTACAATAAATGATTATTTATGACAAATCAAAGTAACATAAGCAAAACCAACTCTATTAAGATAAGAAGAACTCTAGGATAATAATGAGAAATATAAAGCGATATGACCAACGCTTATATTTTATAGAGTGTTGTGTCCTTAGTCTGGTGCATAGTGTAAGATTTAGGGGCATATTTGGAAGTAAAAAGGCAAGAGTTCTTTGTAAGAAAGGCGGTGAATTGCATACAAATTTGGTGTCGGTCATTTCAGGGAAGCCACTGCTGTAGGGTGCTATCAGAGAAAAAAAGGGAAATTTTTCAAGGGTAACTCTAACATTACTTCAGTTATTAATAGTATTTGTTTAAGTTTCTACATTTTGATGCATAAACAGATCAGAACGATACTGTATATTATAATAATTGCTAATGTAATAGTCAGTGTGGTATAATACAATGGAACACAAATTGGAACATGAAAGTCAGAAGATCTGGGTTCAAGTTTGTTGCATTTATAATTGATTCATGGTATTGGACAGAACATTTAGTTTTTTTGAACTTTGGCTTCAACATCTATAAAATGGGGATAATCATATTTTTCTTAATTTCCCGCTGGGCTATAGGAAGGATCAATTGAGATAATGTTTTCAAAAATTCTGCTCACGTATTAGTTATTTTTGTGATTTAAAATTAAGAGTCAGACAACAAAAGTGTCGCTGAAGAGTTTTCTGGCTGTTGTCAAGAATAACAAGAATGTGGAGCTTCTGTTTCTGTAGCTTTCTATATCCTGCTTATCCAGGCCTGCTCTGCTGCTGCCTCTGCTGAGCCCATTTTGCTGCTCAGTTTGTCTGACCTCTGCTGTCCCTTGACTCAAAAGCAGTTCAAGGTTGGGTTGTAATAAGAGTGCCGGGGGTAACAGCAGTTACAGCAGGCCTCCTCCTGGAGATGCCTGCCTGTGCACGTGCCCTTGGTGTGGCTACCTGGACCACTTTCATCTCTTTTCTTCTGATTCCATCTGCAGCTGCTAATGGCTATAACAATTGCATCTGTTACTGTCTTGTTCAAGGGTTTCTGAGGCGTTCTAAAATTTTTTTCTCTGATTCTGCTGAGCAAACACCAGAGATAAAAAACTAGGTTAGTAGATAGAAGTTGGGTTTGGTGATCAGTAAGAGGAGATATGGTCCTTGACTTGAGGTATCCAGCCTCTTCAAAGTCAGGTTATGTGGTGGAGTCCTATTTTAACCAGCCTCTCTTTTTGTGTTTTCAGGGAGTCGACGAGTTGAAGATGAAGCCCAGAGCAGAGTGCTGTTCTCCCAAGTTCTGGTTGGTGTTGGCCGTCCTGGCTGTGTCAGGCAGCAGAGCTCGTTCTCAGAAGAGCCCCCCCAGCATTGGCATTGCTGTCATCCTCGTGGGCACTTCAGACGAGGTGGCCATCAAGGATGCTCACGAGAAAGATGATTTCCACCATCTCTCCGTGGTGCCCCGGGTGGAGCTGGTAGCCATGAATGAGACCGACCCAAAGAGCATCATCACCCGCATCTGTGATCTCATGTCTGACCGGAAGATCCAGGGGGTGGTGTTTGCTGATGACACAGACCAGGAAGCCATTGCCCAGATTCTGGATTTCATTTCAGCCCAGACTCTCACTCCCATCCTGGGCATCCACGGAGGCTCCTCTATGATAATGGCAGATAAGGTAAAGAGGGACTGCAGCAAGAAAAGCACGGGGGGTTGGTATTGAGGACTAACCAATGCATTTGTGTGAATGCAAATTTTGGTTGTTAATAATGAAAGGTAACCAGAATGCTTTGAGAAAATGGGTAGACCAGGAATTAGTCTAACTGTTTGAAGATGAAAGTGAGGGAAAGATGCTGGTGTCTAGAAGCCTCTTTAGTTTTGGTCAGGTTTATATGTCCATTTGTTTGTGAATGAACTCACTGAAATGACTAAGAGATGCTAATGCTTGTAGCTCTGTGATACATTTTCTTCAAATAGGTATATGAGTAGCTCCTTCAAAACTTTAAAATAGGGCATGCTTTATTATTTCTTGGTAATACATATTCTCCCCCATACTGTTTTCAAGAATATAAAAAGAAAAATCACTTGAGGCAGGTGATTTCTTTCCTTGAAGATCCAAATGTGATAGGGAAGTCATTCTTGCTGAGATATTCATACTTGCCACACACACTGATCTGTACATTCAAATGGATTTTAATACATGGAACCAGTAGCAGCCCTATTTCCCCCCATGGTTAGATTTGAAGGCAATGGTTCCTAATCTTGCTGGCACATCAGAATAACCTGAAGAGCTTTCAACACTACTGATGGCTGAATCTCAGAGCTTCTGATAATTGGCCTGAGTTTCAGGATTCTTAAAAAGCTCCCCAGGTGATTCTTGTGTACACTTAAGATTGACAACCACTGCTTTAAAACCTCAAATAAATCCTAGCCTATCCTGGATTAATGTTAGATTGTCATGGAACTAATCATCATCTGACACTGGTGCTTATTCTCTAACTGCAGAAAGAGTGTTTTACTTTTGGTGTGTTTTGTTTTTCAGGTTTTCAGTCACTCAGTTATTTTCCTTGCTTTATCGATCATTGTTTATTGCTTAGATACAGCCTTTCTCCCATAGGCGCTGTCCTTTGCAGCCATTCATATCTTAGAATGATTCGTTTCACCACAAGTGCAACATTTATCATTTTTCTTCCCTTTGGGTTTTAAAAAATTGTCATTGTTATAGTATATTTCTCATCACCACTTTAAAAACTGTCTTTAGTTTTGTACTTAAAACATAAGCTGTGGGATTAATGATGTTTGTAAACACCTTAAAACCTAGCACAGACACCACAAACATGCTACCTGACCAGGTGAGCCACACCCCAGTGCCCTGCTTGCAGAGACTGAGACTGAAATAACCTGGCATGACCACCATCGCCATCTGTTGGTGGCAGGCAGAGATGACTCGTTTTTGCTTCGGAGCTTCCCTTGACGCAGTCTAGGAAAAGTCAAGTAGAAAGTGTTAAGTGGAGAAATTTCAGTATCATAACAGAAAATTGTTCTTCATTTACATGAGCACAGGTATATATGTGAGAAAACAAGTGCTGACATGAGTAGCCTATGCTAAGGGACGTGGGAGAAACTTAAGCAAAAAGGACTATGTAGAGTGACTGTTGAGTTTTGCTTCAGGTAGATTTTTTTTTTTAAACATCACTTCCGTTAGCAAATTATATTTTATTTTAACAGTAGTGTTTTGAAGGCACAATATTTCTTTGAAAGAATGCCAATATGGAAAAGAGCCAGATTTTAAAATCATGAGTAAGTGCATACTTGTTTTGAGAGCATAGCAGTTAAAATGAATTTGTTTTTGCTTTTGTTTTTGCTCATGTGGGCTATTGTGCAGCCTATATCAGTTCCTCCCAGTAGAAAAGGCCATGCCTAAAGTGGTTGGTTGCCTATCTCTGGTGTCTCTTACAAATCCACAACATCCATATAAAAATATGAGGTAAGATGCAGACCATGTGGAGAGACTAAACTCTTTTTGTTCACTGGTGTATCCTAAGTGCTTTGAGTGTGTTTACCATATGCTAGGCAGTTAGTGCTTTGCATGCATTATCTTATTTAATACTCTTAGCTACTCAGTGAGCTAAGTGGGGTTTAATTTATATCTTACAGATGGGGAGACTGAGGCTTGGAATAAATAGCATATCCAAAGCGTGGTAGCGTGTAAGTGGCAGCCAGGACTTGAACAATGGTTGCTGGCTCCAAAAGCTATGTGTTCTATTGCCTCTCAGGGGAATTATGAGGCTGGTTAAGGTCTCATATTTCTTCCTACCCTTCACTTTCTCCTCTGTGGTATAGCATTGTGGGAATATCATCCTGCTGGAAGGAATCCATCACTCGATTCATGTTCAGGCAATACTGGGTTCCAATTACAAGAGAGCATTAATGAGGATATGAAATGGTGAGGTGCTTTGATGTAGCACAATTCCAGAGAGGACCCATTGGCTATTGTCTTCTAGGGGTAAAAGGGAGAATTCAAGCCAGTAAGATGGACTCTTGCAGGTCACTGTCATGAGATCCCCTCTGGTCACTTTCCCCATCCGTCTCCTCCCACTGCTGCCACATCCAAATATTTTGTATTGTCTTGTCCTCTTTCCACTAAGTATAGGAGCAGACAATGATTTTTAGACAATTTTCTAAAATAGCCTTTTGACTTGAAGAGTTTATAAAAGGTAGACTGCAAGAAGAAGAGGAAGAAAGAAAGAGGTCCTAGTAATCGAAATTTGGAGGATCCGTCAGTCACAGGGGCTCCATGCTGAATGGGTGGTGGCAGAAGAGGAGACAGCGGGAGTCACATGGCCTGAGAGGGTAGCAGCGCCAAGATTCCCAGGAGCTGTGTAGGAGTGTTTTCAGGCTTAAAGGATTTGCATGAATGCAAATAAAAATCCCCCAGATCTCAGAGAAATAAGCCTTGGGGACAAATTTCAAAAATAAAACACCTCACAACTAAGGTCAGGTGTACTCCCCCCCCTTAATAGAAGTTTATTTTTACATGCCATGACCATATTCTCCTAACATAGAAAGGAGATACATAGTTGGATAACTGTGAATTGACAATGGGGCAATAGGACAAAATATTTTAAAGTGGAACTGAGGCAGAAAATCAAGACATAGAGCTTGACCATATTCAAAGCTTATAGTTATCATCTGAAGGATGACACATAAGCCTTCCATTTTGCTTCTTCCTTCTAGGTGATAGATACTTGCTGTTTTAACTTAGATGATTGTTGTTGCTATTGTTATTTTATTTAGAATAAAATCTGCTTATGAAGTTCTCTTGTGGAAGATTGCCTTATGGGGTAAAGTCTCTGTGGTCAACAAGTTTTTGATACAGCAAAGACAGCACTGTTCTAAAGACTTTTTTTTTTTGAGTTGGAGTTTCACTCCATTGTCCAGGCTAGAGTGCAGTGGCACACTCATGGCCACTGGAGCCTCTACCTGCTGGGCTTTGGCGATCCTTCTGCCTCAGCCTGGAGGCACAAGGAACTACAGACACACGCCACTACGCTCAGCTAATTTTTATGATTTATTGTAAAAACAAAGTCTCATCAAGTTGCCCAGGCTGATCTCGAACCCCCGGCCTCAGGCAATCCTCTTGCCTCGGCCTCCCAAAGTGCTGGGATTACAGGCTGAGCCACCACGCCCGGTCTCTAAAGACTTTTGACTACAGCAGAGACACGGTTCAGCAGTTCAACATCTGGTCAGATGACATGTGCTCACTTTTTGGCATATGCTAACTAATCAGTAAAAACATTAATTAGTGCTGTCCTCTCCCAAAGAGAAAATACACTTTATGCTATGGTGGAAAGAAGCATGGGAGCTAGTAGAGTAGAGCTGTTAGAACCTTGGGATTTAGAGTCCAAGCTGGTTTCAGATATCACTTTCTAGATGTGGGACTTGGGATGAGTCACCAATCCCCGACTCTCAGCCTTGGCTTCCTTGCTTGTATAAGGGAATCATAATATACCCATTACAGGGTTCTTGAGGATTCGATGAGGTGATATGTTGCATGTGCTTCACTAAGTGTCCAGCACAGCATTCAGCAGGTTAAGCTGAAAGTCATGTGGAAATGTTTGAAGAAAGTGAGAGCGTTTCCTAATGCAGGAAAAGAATGGGAATGGAAAAGCCTCACAGGGTTGGAGAGACAATTCCAAATTCAAGACCTACAAAGAAAGGAGCTCGGGTAAGAATCTGGGGAAGGGTTCTATCGTGCAGAGTGGGAGTCTCAGTCTCGCACCACTGGGGAAGCTGAGACTCACGAATGTTGTGGAAGCTGCCATAGGCAAAAAGGGCATGCCCAGTTAAAGAAAAATTCTAACCAGGAAAGAACTGCTCGGTGCTTATGACAGAAGACTGTTTAGAATAGTAATGGAGGATGCTTAAAAATGTATGAGGTGCTTTTTGGCAGTTCCCCACCTGAGTATAAAGAGCCTATTTTATTTTGTCTTGTTATAATTGCTTTTATTCTCCCTGAGATCCTGGATTTAAGATGCCCATCTGAATCCAAATAATGAACTAAAGCTAGGTGTATTTCCATTTCTTTCTAGGAGGCTTTTCTACTGATCGTCTGAAATCTTTCCTGGGTTTTCAGATTTTAGCTTAGAAAGGTTAAGTAACTAATCCAGGATATCACAGCTCACAATTAGCAATGGGACTAGGATTCAAATCCCAGGAATACCTATTTTCGGAGCCCATGCTTTCTGTTATACAATTCTGCTTCACAAAACACTGCACTAAGAATTATATATCCTGCATTATAGTCTCCATTCTGATGAGCTTTGGAAATTTGGACAAACAAATTACTTGAACTACATGAAACTCAGTTTATAGTTCATAAATTATAAATTTGTTTTCTGCCCTATCTGCTTTACAACATTTTGAAGACAAAATGAAATAAAATCACTGTAACATTTTGGAAGAGTACTGTGCAAACAGATACTTTTAGGTGAGAGAAATAAGGAGTGGTGATAGGGAATGGCAGAGTCAATGACATCTGCTTTGTCACTGGCGTTAGGATTAACGAAAAAGGCTTGGCAAAAAGCAGGAAGGAAAGCAGAAAGGTGGACGTTACAGTAGGATCGGGCAAGAGTATTCAGGATTCAGTCTCTAATGCTGCAAGACTGGGAGAGAAAAGGGTACACTGACTAAAGGATTAGGATCTGGAAAGAGATGAATTGATGAGGGTGAGGTATAGTAGCTGAAACTGGCATCACACTTTGTATCTTATTTCTCGTTAGAGGACATGGGACAATATTCTTATTGTGGAGACTGTTGCTATGATTCTTTCCTTTCTATTAATAAATAGCTTATTTGGGAATTGGTGTTTTGAATAGCACTCTCATTTTCTGTACCTAAAGTCCCATTTTTAAATCTCACTGAGGCTGGAAAAAATGGCCTTACTCTTCTTTGGCTTCATCTTCTCCCCCTCTTCTCCTATCCCCTACACTACCCCCCGTGCCTAATGGCGATCCATTTGGAGACTGTAGATGAACCAGCACTGGTGTGTGACACTGTGAATAGATGACTGCCTCTCCTTTGCTCATGTGAATTCCATATCCAACACCATCCTGAAACCATGATGGCTGTATGTTACTCATACCTTACCCTCTGCTTCTTCCATAATTTCTTGTATCTCTTAGTTTATTACTTTGTTTTTAGTTGTCTGTGGTATGATATTTCTTGGGATAGAATACCTCAGGAGCAAACTGTGGTGTTAAAACATTTCTTGAATAAAGAGAGTTAAGACATAGAGGTGGGAAATGGGAGACGGAAGAGGTAATATAGTATGCTGACTTTGAACCAGGCATGATGTTAATGAGTATTTAAATTCTTATGCAGTCCTATGAGAAAAGGAGTGTTATTTCTTCTCTGTTGGTGAAATTACAGAGTCTACTTACATTGGCCAAAGTCACACAACTAGAACGATAGTACGACTGGTGTCTGAATCCAGATATGCTTTACTTCAAAACTTTTCCCCGGTCCACAGACTGAAGAAGTAAGAAAAAAGCCAGCATCAAACTTCCTGCTGGGAATTCAATTTCTCCTCTCCAATTTTTTCTACTTCCTTGTACTCTACTATGGATGAAGATGGGTAGACAGTTCTAAGACATTGAAAACTTTGCAGTAATGGAGCCCTTAGAGTGTCTGGATTTTGGGTCTTTCCCAACTGCTTTTGTGGAATGTGTTTTTTATTGGCCAGTATATCCTCTCTTTTAAGATTGGAGCTAGGGATTTCCTTTAAAGATACTGGCCACTTGAAGTCTAGATGCAATGTTAATGCTTGCAAAAGTTGAAAGCCCAGAAATTGCTTAGGCATGTAGAAATACAGGTGCTTGGTGCTGGAAAGTAAAACGTGAGCCATCATTTCTCATAAAGCTTCCAGGAACGTGATGGTGTGTCTACAAGAAGGCAGCGGCACAAGGACAGAATGCAGGGTTGGGGCCAGTAGACTTGCGCATTACTCATTCTCAGCATGTGACCTTAGTTGTACTCTTCAAACTCTTTATGAGGCTCAAAAACTACATTTGTAAAATGGAGACAAAAATGACATCTGGCGCATAGTGAATAGTGAGCCTTATGAAAGTAATATGTCCAGGGATTGATAGACAGCTCATATATACTATTTTGCGTGTTCATATAACAGACCTTACCTAAATCATTTGAGGAAAATGGGATTCTAATTTTTACTATTAACTGAAATAGAAGAGCTCGGGATGTTGGTACACTTCATTTAGACCTGGTGGGTAAGTAGCAGTTAGTGGGTTCCACCCCTATGGTGATGCAACTGCCGACTGTGACTTGATCAGAACTTACCAAGATTTTCAAAACAGAGGCGTACGGTGATTTCAACAAATTGAATCACATAGGACATAAGTATTGAAGACAAGTCAAGAACATTTAGAAATAGCAGAATAAAATCGTGTTTGAATCCAGGTTCACTCATAGATTTGAAAGTGTTGATATATCAAAAAGGTGAATTATTAGATGAGAGAAATATTAAAGGTACTAGGTAAGAAGTAGTAATAATTATAGATAACAGGAGAACAGTTAATTTACTAAATGTCACCAGCCACATTTTTAATAGATTACACCAATCTTGCTGAAAAAAAATCTTAGATTATTATTTCTACACCATTTATTCCCTTTTATGAGACTTCTGTGATCTGTCTTTTTGCCTCTTAGATGTTAAATCTACATTTTATTTAAAATTGTATTTTGATTCTGTAGTTTAAAGGTTCAGCATGCAGGAAAGTAGCATTAAAGGTTATTTTCAGTCCCCCTTCCTGAGTACAAAAAAAAAAAAAAGTTTGCTCTAATTCTATTTGACATGAACAAAGAAGACCTAATTGTCCTAAGTTGTTATGATGTTATGATGAGAAAGACTAATATTGATTGATCATTTATTTTTGTTGGGTTCTGAGCTAGTCACCTTATATATGTTATCTCATTTAATTTTTTTCATTTAATGTTTTCATTGGATTTATGAGATGTGTTTTGTCTCCATTTTATAGGCAAGGACACTGTAGGTCCGAGAGGTTAACTGTGTTGCCCAAGACCTTGAGGTAGTGATTTGCTCATGGTAGCATAAACAAATAAGTGCTTGTAGGCATCTTGGAACAAGGCATCTGGATACATGGCCTGCTGGGGGTGGTTCAGGGGCTCAGCGATGTCAGACTCACATCTAGGCTTCTCTTGGCATGTTTGTTGTGGTTGGGAGGTGGCTTCCCAACTCTAGGCATTATGCCCATCCTCAAAGAAGACAAAAGGGGTGGGTGATTATTAGACTAGGAAAAGTCTTCCCCACATCTTTGATCTCATGAGTTCAAACAATGTCACATGGCAACCCTTGGAGGTTGTGAGTCTTTTTGGTGGAGGTGGCAAGGGGACAAAGAATAAGAGTAACTTTGAGGTTAGTCAATAGACAGCACGTCTCAAAGGAAGTAAATGATAACCTAGGAATTAAATCAATGCCCACATGACTCAAAAGCCCAAACATCTTGAATTTTTTCTGCCACTCACCGAACTCGCTTGTGTGTCTTTGTTCTAATCTTCTCAGTGTGTCCTCCAGTACTAAGATCTTCATCAATCTTTTCTTTTCTTTCCTTAATGATCAACTTATTCCTCTCTACTGACATCTTTCCTCTTATAGATTCTTAGGAGATGTTTGGAAATGTATGGAGTGTTTTTTTGGATGTCACGACGACTGGTGTGTGTGTGTGTGTGTGTGTGTGTGCGCGTGTGCACGTGCACGCACTCACTCTAGAACCTAGAGGACAGGCACGGTAAGTGTCTGCAACGTATGTTTCAGTGCTCCACTGTCAGAAACAGTCTTGCCCAAAATACCAATTGTGTCTTCACTGACAAACATTGCTGTGGTCCATAAAGTGTTCAAATCACTCTCATATTATTAAACAAACATAAAAGCGTTCCATAATTCTCATTCTTCTTCCTCCTCTTTTTACAGTTCAGCTCCTGAAAAGTTAGTCTGAGATTGCCTTTTGCACTTACTCATCTCTTACTTTCCCCAGAGTGCCAAATCCAGTGGACCTTTCAAGTTGTTTCTGACTTTCTTGCAGCACTGGACACTGCTGACGCTTTCAGAGCTAGCCACAGAATTTATGATGAAAAGAGTAAATAAATTTGTCACAGATGTGGTGACAGTGGGAATGAGTATAAGTGGAATTTAGAGCATAGATGGGTCATATAAGTGGAAATGTCTAGTAAGTTACTGAATTTGGGGCCGGAGTTAAATAGAATGGTTTGGGCTGGACGTATAACTATGAACTTTATTTGCAAGGGTGGGGTGGGGTGGGGGAGTGGTGGATATTGAAGCCATGAGGGTGGGTGAGATAGCTTAGAGTGGACAGTGGAATGAGCAGAAAAGTGGGTCAGGGGCAGAACTTTGGGGTGTGCCACCATGTGAAGGATAGCCAGGGGTGCTAGGTGCAGATGATAAAGGTGCCAGTATTGATTTACTAGAGGAGAAAGAAGAGAACGAGAAGAACAAGGAAACAGAAGCTTTATAAAAACCAAGGGAGAGTTCTAAGAAGGGGGAAGTTTCCCAGTCTGGGAATCACTTCCTTCTCCTCAGTCATGGAGGAGTTCTTGTTCTGCCTTCTTAGGACCACTCTGGTCGGGTCCCCCTACTCCAAGCACGCTGCAACGACTGAAGGGCTGGCACTCATTCTCTTCTGTCTGCACTGCTACATGGAAGCTCACCTGTGATTCTTTAGAAACTCAAATCTGATTGTTACATTTCCTCTTAAAACTCTACACTGGCTTCCTCCAGCTTGGAATGCGGTGTCCTCTTTGATCTGGTCCCAGGCTACCTCTCCAGGATTTCTCTTAACCTCCCTGCCCTTGAGCAGTAATGTCAAGTCACACTAAATTATTTACAGCTCCCCAAATGTTCCTGGCGGTTTAACACTCTGTGCTTTTGTTTGTGCCACCTCTTTTCCTTAGAATGTTCCTTTCCTTGCCCACCTGAAGCACCTCTTCACTTTTCTTTCTTTTTTTTTTTTTTGAGTTGGAGTCTCACTCTGTCACCCAGACTGGAGTGCAGTGGCCGCTCCTGGCCACCGCAGCCTCGACCTGCTGGGCTCTGGCGATCCTTCCGCCTCAGCCTTCCAAGTAGCCGGAATTACAGGCATGCACTACCATGCCCGGCTGATTTTTTTATTTATTGTAGAGATGAGGTCTCGCCAAGTTGCCCAGGGGGGTCTCAAACTCGTGGGCTCAGGCAATCCACTCACCTCAGCCTCCCAAAGCACGGGATTACAGGCTGAGCCACCGAGCCCGGCTACCTCTTCACTTTTCAAGAGAAGTCATGACATTTCTTCTGTGTACTCTTTTCTGACTCCCACCTTCACCGAATTTACCATTTCTTCTTCTTCTTTTTTTTTTTTCTGCACTTCACTTGTGCCCTGTTTATGTTTTTATTATAAGTTGTCTTGCTTTTATATATCTATCCACTTTGCTATTCAAAGGGCTCATTGTGGACTAGGATGAGGTTTTACTAATTTGTATCTTCCTAGTACATATTGTAGTGTTAATTAGCACTCATTAAACTGTGCACTTTATATACACCATAGTGGGTTGCATAGTGATTCCCCCCAAATATGTGTCCGTGTCCTCACCCCTGGAGACTGTACATGTGACCTTATTTGGAAAAAGGGTCTTTGCAGATGTAATTAATTTAGGGATCTCATGATGAGATCATCCTGAATTATTTGAGTGGGCCCTAAATTCAGGGACAGATGTCCTTATGAGAGACAGAAGAGGAGAAGACTCAGACACAGAAGAGAAGGCTGTTTAAAGGGAGGTAAACGTGGGAGTTATCAAGCCACAAACCAGGAAAGCCACCAGAAGCTGGAAGAAGCAAGGAAGGAATCTCCCCTAGAGCCTTTAGAGAGAGTATGACTGCAGACAGCTTGGTTTCAGGTTTTTGGCTTTCAGAACTGGGGGACAATACATTTTTGTTGTTTCAAAGCATTTTTGTTGTTCTGAAACCCTAGGAGACTGATATGTACACACCATTGTTAAGAGGGGAACTCTGAAAATCTCACTGCCTAGGTTGTTTCCTGGCTCTACTCACCATTTACTGTGTGACCTTTGGCAAATTACTTCTCTTAGTTTCCTCACCCATAAAATAGTGAAGCAAATAGACTTTGTTTCTTACAGTTATTCAGTACGCCTGTTAAAAGTGCTCAGGAAAGGCCTAGCAAATACTAGGAATAAGTAAGTGTGGTTCTCTGAGAGGTATTCGGTAAGTCTCCACTGAATGAATGAATGAGGGAAACTTGACATCACCTAGCTCTGTGGGAATTGGGCATGCACTTTGGGTGCTCTATCCAAAGGTGTCAGCCCTGGAACAATGATGAAAAGGTAATGTGTCAGTGTTATCTTCAGCTGTTCTACTACTAAAGTCCTTGGTGGAACTGGGGCACATGAGGTTTGTCTTTTAGCCCTAGCACTTCCTTCCTGTGTCCCTGTTCTGTATGCATGCATTGTGTGTGTGTGTATGTGTGTGTGTGTGTGTGTGTGTGTGTGTGTGTGTTCAAATGCAGTTGCTGATACCTTTATACTTTCCAGGATCCAGATAGTATATCCTACGTAGAGCTGCCCTCCTGACCCAAGGTTCCCATGCCTTCAGATTTTTTCTTCTCTACCCTCAAATCAAAACTCCTGTTCCTTTCCCTTCGTTTTCCTTCATTCTATATGTTTTATAGCCCATGTCACAACTATCAGTATCCTAGTAGTTTTTTTAATTAGATCTCAGTCATGCTAGACTACAAGTTTTACCCTGTGTCTTTTTCATTTTTATATCTCCAGAATGTAACATATAGCTTGGCACATCGTAAGCCCTTAATACACATTTGACAAATGTGTAGATGAATTAATTATTTTGGGTCAGTAGATGTCAGTTGTAATTAAGATAAAAGTATTTTAAACCCAAATGAAAATGGTTGATAGATTAATCTCTCTGGGTACTGGCAAACACATTTCTTACGTCTCTCGGAGCTGCTGTTTCCATCACCCTTCCCACAGATAGAAGGACCAGATTCCAGCAATCAACAACCTGGCACTTCTATCCAGAGTTATCACATTCATGTCCACTTCATTTCTAGCAGACAGACATAGCAAAAGCCCTGCCTCAGGCTAGGGTTGCAGTCTGAGATAGCACAGTAAATCTTTTATCATGTAAAAACATTTAGGTGCCAGTGATAATGTTAGCGTTCCTTCAGAATAGGAAGCAGAAAGGAATAAATATTTTTAAAAGTTTTGAAAATTAAACGTACACAATTCATATGACATGCTAATCAGCAAGGTATCACCCAACTGTATTTAATCAATGCAATTAAGCTTCCAAAGGCAGTAGCAAGAGATTTTGAAACTTCCTTTAGCAAACAATATCCTCTCTCATTTACCTATTTATTCATTCAAAAAATACCCCTTATCTGCTGGGTATCAGGACTTGTTCAAGGTCCTGGATGTGTAGCCAATATGAGAGACATGTCCTCATGGAGCATTGACTGACAATCAACAGACACATTAATTGAGCAATATTATTTTAGATGGTGGTAAATGCTTTAATGAAATTAGCAGGAAGAGGTATTGTGAGCTATTTTTAGTTAGGATTGTCAGGGAAGGTCTCAGAGAAGGTAGTAAGTTGAGGTTTGAATGATGTGATGCATCAAGACACATGAAGAACTGAGGGGCAGCGTTTTGGCAGAGCAAACAGCAGGTGTAAAGGCCTTGAAATGGGAATGTGTTTTTGTTGCTGTTGGGTTTTGATGAGAAGTTGGAGGGTCAGGATAGCTGAGGTTGAAGAGATTCTCTGGGGCCAGGTCATATAGAGCCTGAGTGTCTTGGCCTAGAGTTGGATGTTTTTCCATTCATTTTGGGTGTAAAAAGGGAGTGATGTCACCTGACTTAACTTTTTTTCAGATGGGGGCAGCAGAGTATAGTGGATGGAGCATAGTATAACATGAAGCCATTTTGAGTTTTGGTTTCACCTTTTAGAAACTGGTGACCTCTTGCCATCAGTGACTTCTGTGATCTGTTTTTCTCCTCTCTATGATGTAGTTAATACTCATCAATCTCAAAAAGTTATTGCGAGGGTTAAATAAAATAACCTTTAAATCACTCATCACTCTGCCGGGTACACACCTGGTTTTTAATAAATGGCTGCTATTGTTATTTCTACTAGTATTGAACTACTAGAAAGCAGACATCCTCTTCTTTTGATAGATCTGTGGGCTATGCAGGTTTTGTTTTATCTTGCTGATTTTACAAAATTTGTTTACAGACTTGCAAACTAATTATCAAAGTTATGTAGAAAGTTGGAAGCATTTTGATTGACTTTCCTCTAACTAAAGAGCTGTCTCTCCTTTTGAGTTCTTGGAGTTTCTGTGCACCAGAATTCCGTGGTTACTCCTGGATTTGGGTCTACATAGGTGCAGCCAGTTATTACTGCCTCTCTTCCAAATGAGGGTGATAGTACTGAGAAGAGAACCATAGGGATTGGAGCAGTCAGGTGAGATTTTGAGGTGAGAGTTGAGAGGGGGAAGGTAATACAATGGCACAGCCAGCCAGGATAGCCTGCCTTGAACTGAGGATTCCTGGCATGCCCCCAAGTCCTAGTGGACTGCCACCCCGTGTCTTGGATGTACTTTCTGTTGCCTTGGCAACATGTCCAGCGTTGGAGGGAGCAGCAGCCTTTAACCTTTCAGCATCATGTTGCTAGGACAACAGGTTTCCTGGGAAGCCAGGCTGCACTGTAGTTTCTGCATGCTGCTGCCACCCACCCAGCCCTCCTCCTCCTCTGCCTACTCTTGTTTCTGCTGCCTGCCATCTGCATCATTTCACTTCTTTTGCCTTCTGAGATCTACAGTCTGCATACTCTTCCCAGTTCCCTCCAACCCCTTTGCCTTTTATTCTCTTATCATTCCTATGTTCTCATTGCTTGTAAAAAGCCAATACTGTAAATTCTCAAAAACTAAAACAGCATGACAATTGAGAGTATGGTGGAAATGAAGGAGTTAAACAAAACCGCAAGAAAGAGGGAAAGGAGCTTGGTAGAACTGATGGTTTATTTTAGTGTGTGGTCATGGTTATTGAACTAACTGGACTTTAGAATCAACAGAGAGGTTTTAAATTTTATCATCATTATTATTATTTTAATGCAGATTCTCTGGCCCCATACCCAAAGATTCTGATCTAATAGGTCTGGGGCCAAGCCTCTCTAATTACTGTTTTTCTTTATAAACATCTCCCAAGGAATCCTGGGATGCAGCCAAGTTTGGGAAACACTGGTGAGTAGAAAATGTCTTGTTGTTTAGGTTATAAAGTTTTTGATGGGTCAGGCTCCATTTGTTGTGCTTTCTTTTCTGTTTCCAGTGTAATGTATTTGTGTGACTTCTTAATAAAGATAAAGGAGGAAGAAAAGTTGGAGAAAAGTGGAAAGAAAATTAAGAAGGTGAAGAAAAGAGAAAAGGAAAACAGGAGGGAGCACTGCACTATGAAATAAATGACAAGGAGAGGCAGTGAAACTGGAGATGATGAAGTTTAGCCTTCAGACATGAGTTCAACAACTCTCTAAGTCTCTGATTTTCAGTTGGAGTGCAGGCTGTTAAGAGGCTTGATCTAGAATTGATTAATCTGCTTTTTTTGGATGTGTTTTGAATCCTGGATTCGCCTCTGGTTTGTAGGAGACTGGGATGAGCCAGATCTGGAGTTTCAGAAGAGATCAGTTTCATTCTCCCCTTTAAAAAAGCAAAGTGCCCACTACATGTCAGATGCTGCTCTTTATATGAGAAGGCACTTTGCCTGCATTGAGGCAATGTAACCCTCAAAGGAGACCTAGGATTAGGCAGTAGTTTTATTTTCCTTCTTTTACAGATAAGAAACAGATTCGGAAAGGAAAGTAACTGGACCACACTAGTAGTGGCAGTGTAGAAACTGGATGCTTATCTGAATGACAATGAAGGCCATGAATTTCACGTGTGCTGCACTTTCTCTTGAATGCTTTTATTTATTCAGTCTTCTTGGGACATCCAGAATATAGCCCTAGAGTAGGATATCCCCAGTTGCCCAAATGGGAGCCAATGGGGGGAGTCTGGCAATGTTGATGCCTCCCTTTCCCAGTCAATCTTGATTAAGACCTAAACATTCAGAACAAGAGAAAAGAGAGTGGGCTGAGAGGCAAGAAGTAGAAAGGGAAAGAGAATTAGAGGAGGATGGATGTTGGAGTGGGCAAAACTGTTGCATCTACCTCCAGTCTGACGGACCTGGATGCAGCTGCACGGGCGCTCCAATTCCCTCCAAACTCTGGATTCCTGTCAAGAATGGACAGGCCCAGAACTCTTTCAAGAAGATGCCCCAGGATTTGACTCCTGGATCAGAGCAAATTCTTCACTGACCCTTCTGGAATTGGGGGATTGTGTCAGGAGAAAATGACATCAGATGAACCTCAGTCTAAGGTCTAGCAGTTCATCTTAGTGGATGAGAAACTGACAGAAAAAGAATAGTGTCTTAGCCTCACTGTCCTGGGTAGCCATAGGTCTTGGAGCATCCTTTTTCTTCCTACTGTTTGAATAATCTTACAGAATCATCAGCTGCAACTGCTGTTACCTTGGACCAAGATTCTTACCAGTCACTAGAGGTGGTACCCAAAGGCTACCTCCACTGGTCCCTCCTGAGTACCCCCCACTGTGCCTCTCTCATTGCTGGGCCCTCAGTACCTACTCTCCCTGTCACTTTCCCATGATGATCAAAGTACTGTTTATGAGCAAGAGTAGTATTCAGGTGTGTGAAAGATATCTGTCACAGGGTAGTGGGACAGATATCAAGATGGGCTCAGGCAGTGCCCATGAGAGGTGAATTTATCACACAGCGTGCAAGCCCTTCCCAGAGGAAGAGAGCCCCTTCCTTTCCTCCCCTCGTGATCAGGACAACACAGAGTGCACGAGATGCACTCAGTGCGTATTTGCCGGTAATGATAGATCATTTGAAATCAGATGGGAACAGACCATATGCTCTTGGAAAAGGGCCTACATTACAAGGTGGGATGGATGAGTGAGATGTGTTTTTGCAAGTTCTTTTTATCTCTAACATCTGCGATCCTGTGAATAATACTCTTCCCCTTGGCCCCTGCTGGCCACTTGTCTGGAGTCTCTGCCAGAGCTTTCCCCCACTACCCCTCAGAATGGAGACCACAAAGGGTCTCCTACTCTGGATGGATGGCTCTGGAAGCCAGAGTTGATACTGAAAGCAGAAATGAAGTTCTGAATCCCGAAGCCAGAGCCCAGGGATAGAAGAATTTGGGCAGGAATTGCGAGTACAATAATTCCCAGAACCAGGTGAAAGGGGACTGTGGGGACCTGACGGCTCAGACCAATGTCATCTGAACTTGTCCAGCAACAGCGACAGCAGTACATCCAGTTGCACTCATGCAGGCCACAGAAGCTTTTCTCAGGCTAAATGGGGGCACTGACTGAGCAGCGGGACCCAAGACAGGGCTAGAGAGGAGGCTGGGGTAGAGAGAGGAGGCTGCAGCCAGAATCCTGGTTCTTGTCCCGCTTCCCTGCCTGCCTGCCATGTCATTTTCCCAGACATCTAGCCTATCTGTATCAGAAGAAGTTAAGAGACTGGAATACTTGTCTGGTGAACGTCCTGTTCTCTGATCACAGTTGCTCTCTGAGACTAAATTAGTGGCTAATTTTACTGAAGAAAGTAATATGGCCGCCGGGATCCTCAAAGCTCTCTTGTTTGGCCCTGCAGTTTCTGTGCCCAAGGGGAGGTCTCATTGGTCAATGAAACAGAGGACTTGATAACTCTGTGAGTAGCTACTGGTGTGGTTTCAGTTCTTCCTGAAGGGAGACTGGTTTGGTGATTGTTAAGAAGACTAATCATAAAGCAGAGAGAGCGTAAGCACACAGTTTAGCACCCTAAATGCTCTGTCAGAAGGGTGCTTTCTCTCTCTTTGGTGTATTCTACTCCTGTGTTCTCTTTGATTCAAGAGAGAGGCTACCTAGTCATGATGGTGGCATCTTCTGATGCTGCTAAGAGTTACAAGTGTCTGAAGCTGGAGCTGGTTTTTTTGTCTGTGGGAGGTAGAATTAGGGCTTGAACAGTAATCTTTTTTTGTGTTTCTGAAATTTTCAAGTAGCAACCATGGCCATCTCTTTCATCCTGTTTCTGATGATCAGCCCTGGGAAAAGTTATGCAACTGGAAAATAATATACTCTTAATTTTTTTACTCCCTTTTCCCATGATCCTCTTTCCCCGTTGACAACTTCTACCTTGTTTAATCGTCCAGGACCCCTTTTCTGTCTGGAGGACTCCCTCCCCCATACCCCTCTCCCTGCATTACCCACTACTGAGACTTCTCCAAGAAATGCTGTTCGACTTAGTCCTGGGTCTGTCCTCCAGTACTTCCTCCTTACAGTCTATAAAGTAAAATCCCTGCCAGGGATTGCCAAATTGACAGGAGCAACTAATGTGTTTTCCTTTCGATGGGCATTTATATTTTAACTTGGTGGAAGAAACTTGTAAGAGTTGGACTTCAGATTCCATGTTAGGCCATGAGGGAAATATGTTTTTCCAACAGAAGGCACCTTCCTGACTACCACAAATCACACCTCTCATGGGGAGCCTCGCCAGTCCTAGCACAAGGCTCCACTGGGAACTTTGCTGCAAACAGAAATCCTGAAGGGTAGCTTCTTGAGAAGGGTGTCACTTGTCCTTGGCTGAGCAGTGGACAACCTAGAACCTGCTCTGGAGCCTTGAAGAGCATCTCATCTATTAGCAGAAGGACTTCAGGGCCTCCTTCTGGGAAGTAGAAGAGAATCAGGTAGAAGATGGAAGCTCACCTGAACCGGTGAACTCTGAAGATTGCTAGACTGCTTTAATTGTCTACTCCATAGGGGAGCTTAAACCCTGCACTAAGAACCCATACCTGCCTTTTCCTGCCCCCATAGACTAAACTCTTAGCCTGTCTATGCTTGGCTCTGTCTTTGTTTCTTCCTCCCACTCTTGGCTTCTCTGTTTTCTGCTTCTCTCTGTCTTCTCCTTCCTTGCTCTGCTCCCGGCTCCCTGTCATCTCGTTTTTCTGCCCTTCTCCCACCTGTCCTCTCCCCTGACTCCCGTGACCCACTCTTCCCCATGACCTACACTTTATGTGGAGCGCCAGTCATCATCATGCTTCATCCTGTCAGTGCTGAGTCCCCTCCATGGCCTCCCTTTGGACCTGGCACAGTTAAAAGTTCCCAGGTGGTCCGCTCTTGACTTTGGGAGCTGTCATACATTAGCTTTATCGTCTGTGGCCAGTTGGTTCAGTTGGGTACAACTAGCATTTAATAAGGCCACCCAAGGACATGTGCCTTGTCTCTGTAGGATCCTGTTAGTGCTCTTGCACCCCATGGCAGAGATACCTTCAAGTGGCCACTTCCCCATTCAAACCCATGGTCACAGTGGAGTCTGGGTGAGGAGCTGGGGCTGGATCAATGCTACTTTATGAATAAGGGATACCAGGAA